CTCTGCATGTAATGCAGTTCTCCAAAAATCTCAAACATATTTTGTCATACCAGAAAACCTGTAATGATCGTACACCTTGTCTAGCGTTTTCTCCCAACGTAGATGCATGATAGACTCATGTACCTGATCTATAACTGACCAGCGGAATGCACGAGGAACTACCGGTAAACAACGAGTTCTTGAGTTCCTCTGAATCTTTTTATACAAAACATTTGATCTAATTTCCTAAGTGGCAATTAATGCCAATGGTAAATCGTCATTATTCAACTTAGTTAAGATTTCTGGTACTTCTGGATCCTTTTGTTGTTCCACCAGTATCCAGTTTTCCGATATTTCTGTTAGATCAATTCGCTTCTCTTCTGTTTTATTCTTTTGACACACCGGATTCCTAGATAAAAAGTCCACGTGTGATATGCGTTTACCTTCTCTGTATTCAATTTCGAATTCAAATGTTTGTAAAAACTCCCACCAACGATAAACCTTAGGTGCCATTTGACTTTATTTCGAGAAGACTTGATTGAATTACAGTCAGTAAAAATCACAAATTTTCTCCCATGCAGATACGACAGCCAGCGTTTCCAATTCATAGGATGTGTACCTGGACTCACAGGAGCTAGTTGCTCTACTATAGTATTTAACCACATGAGGCTTAGTGTTTATGCGGTGCAAAAGGATAGCACCATACCCGATAGAGCTGGCGTCGGTATGCAGTTCTATCGGAAACTGGGGTTCAAAAATTATTAAAACGGGCTTGTTTGTTAATACACTGCTGATTTTACTGCGAATTTCTTCATGCTGTGGCTGCCAATCAAAACTATTCTTTTCAGATGTGAGAAAATGAATGAATTGACGAAAATATGACACTAACCCAATGAACTGTCTTAGAGTAGCAACTGACTTCGGTGGAGGCAACGCCACTAGCGATTTTATTTTTCTTAAATTTGGACGTATCTCCTCTCCCCCGCTTTTATCTCATAGCCACGGTAGCGAAATGTAGATCTCAAGAAAAAGCACTTCGAAATTTTAAATGAGAAACCTTCATTAGAACGTCTCATACAAGTTGCAACCGCTCATACGCTTCTTCCTTCGTTTCTGAAACAATTAATATATCGTCCATATAAACGATTACAAACGAATGAGCAAGACTGTCAAGTGCTTTCAATACAGCTCTTTGAAACACAGAGGGTGCGTTCTTTAATCCAAAGGGCATCAAAAGAAATTCGTACTAACCATCAGGAGTAACAAATGCAGTATATTGAATTGATTCAGGGTGCATAGTGGTAATACCCGCTACCCATGTCCAGAGAAGTGAAATATTTAGATTCCCCTGAGTCTAACTATTTGATCTGATATCAACGGTAATGGATACTTATCAGCTACTGTATTTTTATTAAACTCTATAATCAACACAGTCTGGCTGAACCGTTTTTATACCCTGAACACATTAAAAAGTGGTATACGGGTATATTGTATTTGTGCAAAATCCAAATGTATGTAACAGGCAAAAGGAAGCATCTCCGACCCCATAAAGTATATATATTCTTGATCAGCGCCAATAGCCGAGTCGATCTAGCCATGTCCGTCTGTCCGTATGTATGAACGCACGGATCTCAGAACCTATAAGAGCTAGAGACTTGAAATTTTAGATGTAGGTGCTCCTAGTCCCTGCGCAGATCGAGTTTGTTTCCCATAATCGATAACTTACTCCGTTTCTTAGCAATCGACGATTATCGATATCGATATCCTGTTATTTGGACAATTTTGGTAAATAATAAGAGGTAGAATCACCAAACTTGACATATAGCTTCTAAAATAGAATATATATATGCATTTGATGTTGGAAGAAGAGGGCTCAGTGCAAAGACAATATAAACACTAAGATGAGTAACGCCATACAACAAAATGCTACTATGCAGCTTGATTTTTTGAAAAATGAGAACGATAACGAAATCAATAGCATTGCGCTCTCACAGCCGAGAGAACGAAAAAGCTAAAAATAGAATTTGCTCTCAGCTTCGGCTCTATGAGGGCCGTGCAAGCAATTATGTTTGTATGCGTGTGAATATACATATATAACAGCATATTTCAATGTGTAGTTATCCACTGCTCTGGCAAAGTCTCTGGCTGGCAAAGAAATAATTTTCTTAGTTTTTTAGCGCAGATCACGACCTACCCAAAATTTCTGTTGATATATGAATGCATTTTGTGTACTGAGGTTGGCTCCGTACAAAAAAATTTGTATTTTTAAGTCGATGCAAAAATTTATGTAATTTATTATATTTGAAATTATTAATTAAATTATTGTTTTTTCAAAGTTACATTTAATTAATTTTTTTTTATTTTATTAATTTTGTGGTTCGAATTATAAAGAACAAAGTACGCAGGGAACACCGCGAGGAGAACATTATAATTATAATGGGGTCATAACTAAATATGACCTTCGGGTATTTTCTGCGGAGCCAATCTCAGTACACAAAATGCAGATTTCATTACGTTTATACAAGTATTGGCACCCAAAAAAAAGTTGTGAAACAGGTAAACGTATTTAGTAAAAGCGTTGATTTGTACAATGATGTATTCTTTACGATCAGTTTTTCCGCTAAGTTTTCCCGATATATCTATGTGAACGGTATGGCAAGGAATGCTATTTTTTGGAATTGGATTTACATCCATTTGAGGTTTTCCTGACGTACCCTTAGAAACTCTGCATGTAATGCAGTTCTCCAAAAATCTCGAACATATTTTGTCATACTAGAAAACCTGTAATGATCGTACACCTTGTCTAGCGTTTTCTCCCAACGTAGATGCATGATAGACTCATGTACCTGATCTATAACTGACCAGCGGAATGCACGAGGAACTACCGGTAAACAACGAGCTCTTGAGTTCCTCTGAATCTTTTTATACAAAACATTTGATCTAATTTCCTAAGTGGCAATTAATGCCAATGGTAAATCGTCATTATTCAACTTAGTTAAGATTTCTGGTACTTCTGGATCCTTTTGTTGTTCCACCAGTATCCAGTTTTCCGATATTTCTGTTAGATCAATTCGCTTCTCTTCTGTTTTATTCTTTTGACACACCGGATTCCTAGATAAAAAGTCCACGTGTGCTATGCGTTTACCTTCTCTGTATTCAATTTCGAATTCAAATGTTTGTAAAAACTCCCACCAACGATAAACCTTAGGTGCCATTTGACTTTATTTCGAGAAGACTTGATTGAATTACAGTCAGTAAAAATCACAAATTTTCTCCCATGCAGATACGACAGCCAGCGTTTCCAATTCATAGGATGTGTACCTGGACTCACAGGAGCTAGTTGCTCTACTATAGTATTTAACCACATGAGGCTTAGTGTTTATGCGGTGCAAAAGGATAGCACCATACCCGATAGAGCTGGCGTCGGTATGCAGTTCTATCGGAAACTGGGGTTCAAAAATTATTAAAACGGGCTTGTTTGTTAATACACTGCTGATTTTACTGCGAATTTCTTTATGCTGTGGCTGCCAATCAAAACTATTCTTTTCAGATGTGAGAAAATGAATGAATTGACGAAAATATGACACTAACCCAATGAACACTTCGAAATTTTAAATGAGAAACCTTCACTAGAACGTCTCATACAAGTTGCAACCGCTTATACGCTTCTTCCTTCGTTTCTGAAACAATTAATATATCGTCCATATAAACGATTACAAACGAATGAGCAAGACTGTCAAGTGCTTTCAATACAGCTCTTTGAAACACGGAGGGTGCGTTCTTTAATCCAAAGGGCATCAAAAGAAATTCGTACTAACCATCAGGAGTAACAAATGCAGTATATTGAATTGATTCAGGGTGCATAGTGGTAATACCCGCTAGCCATGTCCAGAGAAGTGAAATATTTAGCTCCCCTGAGTCTAACTATTTGATCTGATATCAACGGTAATGGATACTTATCAGCTACTGTATTTTTATTAAACTCTATAATCAACACAGTCTTGCTGAACCGTTTTTATACCCTGAACACATTAAAAAGTGGTATACGGGTATATTGTATTTGTGCAAAATCCAAATGTATGTAACAGGCAAAAGGAAGCATCTCCGACCCCATAAAGTATATATATTCTTGATCAGCACCAATAGCCGAGTCGATCTAGCCATGTCCGTCTGTCCGTATGTATGAACGCACGGATCTCAGAACCTATAAGAGCTAGAGACTTGAAATTTTAGATGTAGGTGCTCCTAGTGCCTGCGCAGATCGAGTTTGTTTCCCATAATCGATAACTTACTCCGTTTCTTAGAAATCGACGATTATCGATATCGATATCCTGTTATTTGGACAATTTTGGTAAATAATAAGAGGTAGAATCACCAAACTTGACATATAGCTTCTAAAATAGAATATATATATGCATTTGATGTTGGAAGAAGAGGGCTCAGTGCAAAGACAATATAAACACTAAGATGAGTAACGCCATACAACAAAATGCTACTATGCAGCTTGATTTTTTGAAAAATGAGAACGATAACGAAATCAATAGCAATGCGCTCTCACAGCCGAGAGAACGAAAAAGCTAAAAATAGAATTTGCTCTCAGCTTCGGCTCTATGAGGGCCGTTAAAGCAATTATGTTTGTATGCGTGTGAATATACATACATAACAGCATATTTGAATGTGTAGTTATCCACTGCTCTGGCAAAGTCTCTGGCTGGCAAAGAAATAATTTTCTTAGTTTTTTAGCGCAGATCACGACCTACCCAAAATTTCTGTTGATATATGAATGCATTTTGTGTACTGAGGTTGGCTCCGTACAAAAAAATTTGTATTTTTAAGTCGATGCAAAAATGTATGTAATTTATTATATTTGAAATTATTAATTAAATTATTATTTTTTCAAAGATACATTTAATTCATTTTTTTTTTATTTTATTAATTTTGTTGTTCGAATTATAAAGAACAAAGTACGCAGGGAACACCGCGAGGAGAACATTATAATTATAATGGGGTCATAACTAAATATGACCTTCGGGTATATTCTGCGGAGCCAATCTCAGTACACAAAATGCAGATTTCATTGCGTTTATACAAGTATTGGTACCCAAAAAAAAGTTGTGAAACAGGTAAACGTATTTAGTAAAAGCGTTGATTTGTACAATGATGTATTCTTTACGATCAGTTTTTCCGCTAAGTTTTCCCGATATATCTATGTGAACGGTATGCCAAGGAATGCTATTTTTTGGAATTGGATGTAATTCAATTTGAGGTTTTCCTGACGTACCCTTAGAAACTCTGCATGTAATGCAGTTCTCCAAAAATCTCGAACATATTTTGTCATACCAGAAAACCTGTAATCATCGTACACCTTGTCTAGCGTTTTCTGCCAACGTAGATTCATGATAGACTTATGTACCTGATCTATAACTAACCAGCGGAATGCACGAGGAACTACCGGTAAACAACGAGTTCTTGAGTTCCTCTGAATCTTTTTATACAAAACATTTGATCTAATTTCCTAAGTGGCAATTAATGCCAATGGTAAATCGTCATTATTCAACTTAGTTAAGATTTCTGGTACTTCTGGATCCTTTTGTTGTTCCACCAGTATCCAGTTTTCCGATATTTCTGTTAGATCAATTCGCTTCTCTTCTGTTTTATTCTTTTGACACACCGGATTCCTAGATAAAAAGTCCACGTGTGCTATGCGTTTACCTTCTCTGTATTCAATTTCGAATTCAAATGTTTGTAAAAACTCCCACCAACGATAAACCTTAGGTGCCATTTGACTTTATTTCGAGAAGACTTGATTGAATTACAGTCAGTAAAAATCACAAATTTTCTCCCATGCAGATACGACAGCCAGCGTTTCCAATTCATAGGATGTGTACCTGGACTCACAGGAGCTAGTTGCTCTACTATAGTATTTAACCACATGAGGCTTAGTGTTTATGCGGTGCAAAAGGATAGCACCATACCCGATAGAGCTGGCGTCGGTATGCAGTTCTATCGGAAACTGGGGTTCAAAAATTATTAAAACGGGCTTGTTTGTTAATACACTGATTTTACTGCGAATTTCTTCATGCTGTGGCTGCCAATCAAAACTATTCTTTTCAGATGTGAGAAAATGAATGAATTGACGAAAATATGACACTAACCCAATGAACTGTCTTAGAGTAGCAACTGACTTCGGTGGAGGCAACGCCACTAGCGATTTTATTTTGCTTAAATTTGGACGTATCTCCTCTCCCCCGCATTTATCTCATAGCCACGGTAGCGAAATGTAGATCTCAAGAAAAAGCACTTCGAAATTTTAAATGAGAAACCTTCACTAGAACGTCTCATACAAGTTGCAACCGCTTATACGCTTCTTCCATCGTTTCTGAAACAATTAATATATCGTCCATATAAACGATTACAAACGAATGAGCAAGACTGTCGAGTGCTTTCAATACAGCTCTTTGAAACACGGACGGTGCGTTCTTTAATCCAAAGGGCATCAAAAGAAATTCGTACTAACCATCAGGAGTTACAAATGCAGTATATTGAATTGATTCAGGGTGCATAGTGGTAATACCCGCTAGCCATGTCCAGAGAAGTGAAATATTTAGCTCCCCTGAGTCTAACTATTTGATCTGATATCAACGGTAATGGATACTTATCAGCTACTGTATTTTTATTAAACTCTATAATCAACACAGTCTGGCTGAACCGTTTTTATACCCTGAACACATTAAAAAGTGGTATACGGGTATATTGTAACAGGCAAAAGGAAGCATTTCCGACCCCATAAAGTATATATATTCTTGATCAGCACCAATAGCCGAGTCGATCTAGCCATGTCCGTCTGTCCGTATGTATGAACGCACGGATCTCAGAACCTATAAGAGCTAGAGACTTGAAATTTTAGATGTAGGTGCTCCTAGTGCCTGCGCAGATCGAGTTTGTTTCCCATAATCGATAACTTACTCCGTTTCTTAGCAATCGACGATTATCGATATCGATATCCTGTTATTTGGACAATTTTGGTAAATAATAAGAGGTAGAATCACCAAACTTGACATATAGCTTCTAAAATAGAATATATATATGCATTTGATGTTGGAAGAAGAGGGTTCAGTGCAAAGACAATATAAACACTAAGTTGAGTAACGCCATACAACAAAATGCTACTATGCAGCTTGATTTTTTGAAAAATGAGAACGAAAACGAAATCAATAGCATTGCGCTCTCACAGCCGAGAGAACGAAAAAGCTAAAAATAGAATGTGCTCTCAGCTTCGGCTCTATGAGGGCCGTGCAAGCAATTATGTTTGTATGCGTGTGAATATACATACATAACAGCATATTTGAATGTGTAGTTATCCACTGCTCTGGCAAAGTCTCTGGCTGGCAAAGAAATAATTTTCTTAGTTTTTTAGCGCAGATCACGACCTACCCAAAATTTCTGTTGATATATGAATGCATTTTGTGTACTGAGGTTGGCTCCGTACAAAAGAATTTGTATTTTTAAGTCGATGCAAAAATGTATGTAATTTATTATATTTGAAATTATTAATTAAATTATTATTTTTTCAAAGATACATTTAATTCATTTTTTTTTTATTTTATTAATTTTGTTGTTCGAATTATAAAGAACAAAGTACGCAGGAAACACCGCGAGGAGAACATTATAATTATAATGGGGTCATAACTAAATATGATCTTCGGGTATTTTCTGCGGAGCCAACCTCAGTACACAAAATACAGATTTCATTACGTTTATACAAGTATTGGCACCCAAAGAAAAGTTGTGAAACAGGTAAACGTATTTAGTAAAAGCGTTGATTTGTACAATGATGTATTCTTTACGATCACTTTTTCCGCTAAGTTTTCCCGATATATCTATGTGAACGGTATGCCAAGGAATGCTATTTTTTGGAATTGGATGTAATTCAATTTGAGGTTTTCCTGACGTACCCTTAGAAACTCTGCATGTAATGCAGTTCTCCAAAAATCTCGAACATATTTTGTCATACCAGAAAACCTGTAATCATCGTACACCTTGTCTAGCGTTTTCTGCCAACGTAGATTCATGATAGACTTATGTACCTGATCTATAACTAACCAGCGGAATGCACGAGGAACTACCGGTAAACAACGAGTTCTTGAGTTCCTCTGAATCTTTTTATACAAAACATTTGATCTAATTTCCTAAGTGGCAATTAATGCCAATGGTAAATCGTCATTATTCAACTTAGTTAAGATTTCTGGTACTTCTGGATCCTTTTGTTGTTCCACCAGTATCCAGTTTTCCGATATTTCTGTTAGATCAATTCGCTTCTCTTCTGTTTTATTCTTTTGACACACCGGATTCCTAGATAAAAAGTCCACGTGTGCTATGCGTTTACCTTCTCTGTATTCAATTTCGAATTCAAATGTTTCTAAAAACTCCCACCAACGATAAACCTTAGGTGCCATTTGACTTTATTTCGAGAAGACTTGATTGAATTACAGTCAGTAAAAATCACAAATTTTCTCCCATGCAGATACGACAGCCAGCGTTTCCAATTCATAGGATGTGTACCTGGACTCACAGGAGCTAGTTGCTCTACTATAGTATTTAACCACATGAGGCTTAGTGTTTATGCGGTGCAAAAGGATAGCACCATACCCGATAGAGCTGGCGTCGGTATGCAGTTCTATCGGAAACTGGGGTTCAAAAATTATTAAAACGGGCTTGTTTGTTAATACACTGCTGATTTTACTGCGAATTTCTTCATGCTGTGGCTGCCAATCAAAACTATTCTTTTCAGATGTGAGAAAATGAATGAATTGACGAAAATATGACACTAACCCAATGAACTGTCTTAGAGTAGCAACTGACTTCGGTGGAGGCAACGCCACTAGCGATTTTATTTTTCTTAAATTTGGACGTATCTCCTCTCCCCCGCTTTTATCTCATAGCCACGGTAGCGAAATGTAGATCTCAAGAAAAAGCACTTCGAAATTTTAAATGAGAAACCTTCATTAGAACGTCTCATACAAGTTGCAACCGCTCATACGCTTCTTCCTTCGTTTCTGAAACAATTAATATATCGTCCATATAAACGATTACAAACGAATGAGCAAGACTGTCAAGTGCTTTCAATACAGCTCTTTGAAACACAGAGGGTGCGTTCTTTAATCCAAAGGGCATCAAAAGAAATTCGTACTAACCATCAGGAGTAACAAATGCAGTATATTGAATTGATTCAGGGTGCATAGTGGTAATACCCGCTACCCATGTCCAGAGAAGTGAAATATTTAGATTCCCCTGAGTCTAACTATTTGATCTGATATCAACGGTAATGGATACTTATCAGCTACTGTATTTTTATTAAACTCTATAATCAACACAGTCTTGCTGAACCGTTTTTATACCCTGAACACATTAAAAAGTGGTATACGGGTATATTGTATTTGTGCAAAATCCAAATGTATGTAACAGGCAAAAGGAAGCATCTCCGACCCCATAAAGTATATATATTCTTGATCAGCACCAATAGCCGAGTCGATCTAGCCATGTCCGTCTGTCCGTATGTATGAACGCACGGATCTCAGAACCTATAAGAGCTAGAGACTTGAAATTTTAGATGTAGGTGCTCCTAGTGCCTGCGCAGATCGAGTTTGTTTCCCATAATCGATAACTTACTCCGTTTCTTAGAAATCGACGATTATCGATATCGATATCCTGTTATTTGGACAATTTTGGTAAATAATAAGAGGTAGAATCACCAAACTTGACATATAGCTTCTAAAATAGAATATATATATGCATTTGATGTTGGAAGAAGAGGGTTCAGTGCAAATATAAACACTAAGATGAGTAACGCCATACAACAAAATGCTACTATGCAGCTTGATTTTTTGAAAAATGAGAACGAAAACGAAATCAATAGCATTGCGCTCTCACAGCCGAGAGAACGAAAAAGCTAAAAATAGAATTTGCTCTCAGCTTCGGCTCTATGAGGGCCGTGCAAGCAATTATGTTTGTATGCGTGTGAATATACATACATAACAGCATATTTGAATGTGTAGTTATCCACTGCTCTGGCAAAGTCTCTGGCTGGCAAAGAAATAATTTTCTTAGTTTTTTAGCGCAGATCACGACCTACCCAAAATTTCTGTTGATATATGAATGCATTTTGTGTACTGAGGTTGGCTCCGTACAAAAAAAATTTGTATTTTTAAGTCGATGCAAAAATTTATGTAATTTATTATATTTGAAATTATTAATAAAATTATTGTTTTTTCAAAGATACATTTAATTAATTTTTTTTTTATTTTATTAATTTTGTTGTTCGAATTATAAAGAACAAAGTACGCAGGGAACACCGCGAGGAGAACTTTATAATGATAATGGGGTCATAACTAAATATGACCTTCGGGTATTTTCTGCGGAGCCAACCTCAGTACACAAAATACAGATTTCATTGCGTTTATACAAGTATTGGCACCCAAAAAAATGTTGTGAAACAGGTAAACGTATTTAGTAAAAGCGTTGATTTGTACAATGATGTATTCTTTACGATCAGTTTTTCCGCTAAGTTTTCCCGATATATCTATGTGAACGGTATGCCAAGGAATGCTATTTTTTGGAATTGGATTTACATCCATTTGAGGTTTTCCTGACGTACCCTTAGAAACTCTGCATGTAATGCAGTTCTCCAAAAATCTCGAACATATTTTGTCATACTAGAAAACCTGTAATGATCGTACACCTTGTCTAGCGTTTTCTCCCAACGTAGATGCATGATAGACTCATGTACCTGATCTATAACTGACCAGCGGAATGCACGAGGAACTACCGGTAAACAACGAGCTCTTGAGTTCCTCTGAATCTTTTTATACAAAACATTTGATCTAATTTCCTAAGTGGCAATTAATGCCAATGGTAAATCGTCATTATTCAACTTAGTTAAGATTTCTGGTACTTCTGGATCCTTTTGTTGTTCCACCAGTATCCAGTTTTCCGATATTTCTGTTAGATCAATTCGCTTCTCTTCTGTTTTATTCTTTTGACACACCGGATTCCTAGATAAAAAGTCCACGTGTGCTATGCGTTTACCTTCTCTGTATTCAATTTCGAATTCAAATGTTTGTAAAAACTCCCACCAACGATAAACCTTAGGTGCCATTTGACTTTATTTCGAGAAGACTTGATTGAATTACAGTCAGTAAAAATCACAAATTTTCTCCCATGCAGATACGACAGCCAGCGTTTCCAATTCATAGGATGTGTACCTGGACTCACAGGAGCTAGTTGCTCTACTATAGTATTTAACCACATGAGGCTTAGTGTTTATGCGGTGCAAAAGGATAGCACCATACCCGATAGAGCTGGCGTCGGTATGCAGTTCTATCGGAAACTGGGGTTCAAAAATTATTAAAACGGGCTTGTTTGTTAATACACTGCTGATTTTACTGCGAATTTCTTCATGCTGTGGCTGCCAATCAAAACTATTCTTTTCAGATGTGAGAAAATGAATGAATTGACGAAAATATGACACTAACCCAATGAACTGTCTTAGAGTAGCAACTGACTTCGGTGGAGGCAACGCCACTAGCGATTTTATTTTGCTTAAATTTGGACGTATCGCCTCTCCCCCGCATTTATCTCATAGCCACGGTAGCGAAATGTAGATCTCAAGAAAAAGCACTTCGAAATTTTAAATGAGAAACCTTCACTAGAACGTCTCATACAAGTTGCAACCGCTTATACGCTTCTTCCATCGTTTCTGAAACAATTAATATATCGTCCATATAAACGATTACAAACGAATGAGCAAGACTGTCGAGTGCTTTCAATACAGCTCTTTGAAACACGGACGGTGCGTTCTTTAATCCAAAGGGCATCAAAAGAAATTCGTTTTCTGCGGAGCCAACCTCAGTACACAAAATGCATTCATATATCAACACAAATTTGGGATAGGTCATGATCTGCGCTAGAAACAAACCAAATTAATTTCTTGCCAGCTAAAGCCAGAGCAGTGAATAACAACACATACATACATACTTTTAAGTTCTTATGCATGTATAATTCACGCATACAACACGCACGCTATTGGCTGAGACAAGAACTTTTCTCGAGCATACACTGTCCAAAAAGAAATCAATCTATGTGTGCTATTTTCTTAACATAGTTATTGCGTAAGAAGTGCCTTGTGTAAAAATTATATAAGTTCTTAAACTTTCCTGTAGAATTTATCGTTAATATCTAGGGTAATATATCATTTAAATAAAGCATGCATTTCATGGATAAAGCACAAACTCATTGCGTCGATCGTAAGGTCTAAACTTTTTCGCTCAGTGTACTTCGAAAACGAAGCGACGCAAAGCAGCATCGACCAGTTTTGCTGAGGGCAGGCTGGCGACTAACTTCGTAGCTCGTGTCAGCATCAGCAAGCCGCGACTTCGGCATTCGTTCGTCTGGTCTTTGGAGAACGAACAACCAGTCGGCAGGCATGCTGTACGAAGCCTCAAAGGCTAGATGACGGCCAGGCTAGAAATTTTGCGTCACATTCAAATGTTGGGCGTTACTCATCTTAGTGTTTATATTGTCTTTGTTCAGGGTATCCCCTAGTCGGGAGCTCCCTACTAGAACTTCTTGTTCTTCTTTACTAATAATGCAGGACTAGCAAATGGTAAACTACTAGGTCTGATAACTTTATACTCGGTTTATTCTTTGATTTTAGCACGTACGAACTCCCTTTCGCTTGGACTATATCTATATGGTCGCCTTTGCACAGTCTTAGTCGAATCAATCAAATGAATATGCATTTCCCCAGTACTCACCATTCCAGTTTCAATGTTATCAAAATTAGTAGGTTGAACGGTTTCACAAACGTTGACAACTTTGATTTGAACAATCTTAAAGTTATCGTAAGAAACTTCCACTAAAATCTCTTGAGCCTATATTTCTCTGCCAATTACAATATTATTTATCATACATTCGTCTGGTACTTTATGAAACAAAACAACTAAAGAATTACCATCAATCAACCAATCCTTACGCAAGTAGGTAGAAAATTCGAGTGCCAGCACGGGTGACGCACATGGCGCACCAACATTACGACGTCAAATATATGATAGAAATTCATTTCTTGTATTGCTTAGAATATATTTCTATCTTTATAACGTACTTTAAGTAATTAATTAATAGGGTCTTTTATAATAGTGAATTTATTTAAATATGTACTAATCTACAGCACCTAACGGTCGCGCACTCAAAGCATTAGGCTGTGACGTCACATGCACATATTTTTTTATAGAAATGGTAAATAATTTTTAAGGAATACAACTATTGATACTAATAGTTGCATACGAAATTATATTTTTCTCAGGCATTGGATCAAAAATGTTATATGAGAAGTTTAGTGTATGTGAAAGAGTGCTTTGCTGGTCCAAAAATCCAAGAAGATGACATGACATGATTGTGAATGCGAATTAAAGGCGTAGCAGTGCTAAGAAACATAAATAATGAGCTAGAATAGTAAGGAAGCTTACATCATAGGCTGAAGCCCCAAACCAAAGGGGTAAAGCAAGGACTGCATTTGTTGTGTATTTAGTCGAGTCCATTGTTTTGATTGATTATTGGTTGTTCTTCTTAATGGAAAGTTTTCTTTGAATATAAGGTGTTTCGTTTGCAACCTCAGTATCTCGCATCAATTAACAAGAAAAGAATCTTTTTATCCAACAATCCTCTCTGTCTGTTTATTACTCAATAGGCGAATTCCAACAGCCTGATTTTAGCTACGTTTGTTTTGACGATTCGGTGGGAATAACGATTCTGGCGGATGTTTATATTTGGTGGTCGAACGTTTATTTATAATAGTTGGTTCTTTTCCAGAACTCTTATTGTCACCAATTGTTTTGTTTGCCTATTTCAAAGGGGTTAGCTTATGTATGTGGCGTTGACATATCTAATAAGCTTTGCTATATATGTATATACCAGCGGGTATAACCCGCCCTTGCCCGTGGCACGTATGTTATAAAATCAATCAATCAAAAAGCTTTAAAAAAAAAAGATTTTAAAACAGATCTGGCAGTAAACAAACAACTTTTATACAAACGTGTTACGCCAATTTGCTACTGTTGAGTAGAAGTTTCCAAATCGCTGAAGCACGTCATCATCATATTCTTATGTAGAGCTCTGAAAATAAGAAGAAAATTAGATGCAAATCGGACACAATTTTCAATTTACCAAAATTTTTTAAAAATTAATTTTCCACCAAAGCTTAGATTTTGTGAAATATGTGAAAAAGTCGCAAATGATTTTTCATATAGTTCCTTGGAAATGAATTTGAGCGCGAAACGACAGCCACCATATCTTTGACCACCATTGTCGCCAAGGAGAAATACATTTTTGAAAAATTGTGAAATACCCCTCAAATTAACTTTGAAATTGAGTTTATCAGATGGTAAACATAAAAGTTTCATACAAACGTTTTTCGCGATTCTTCCACACTTGCGGGTGGAATTTCCCAATTTACTTTTATCACATAAGGTAACTACAGCAAAAACTTCAGCCTCCTAGTTCTAACGGTTTGGGCTGTGGGTTAATCACCAATCAGTCAGTCAATAAGTCATTCAGTCAGGACATATATTTTTTTATATAGAAACTATGTGATATTGAATAAGTGACATATTATTCTATAAGTTTTAATAATATAATAGTAATTGTCCTTGCGATTGGGGTGGTTTCTTTATAGTTAAATAGGTCATAGTTTGAGACATAATGCTCGGGCTTCTGTTCGGGGAAGGGAAACGAGGTTGTCAGTGATCAAAAAAAAAAAAAAAATGGTTTCTTATCGGTGAGACCTTATGTCTAAATCATGGGGTTAATGTAGTAGCACTAATCAAACATATAGACTGAATATGGGAAGGGTTTTGGGGGCGATAAAAATTTAAAGACATCTAGTCCAAAATCGCAAGCAAGAAAGTTAGATATACATATGATATATTTTTACTCCCTCACACTACAAGAAATTGCTTTGTCTACTCTCTGTCATGTGATTTGTGCAATAGAACGGTATCGCTGGTTTTTCACTCGATCCCATACACTCTCAATGCTCTCTTTTTAACAGGCACACAAGCGCATAAATGCTTCTATTCATATACAAAAAATGCATATACAAATATGCAGCTATAAATCAAGTCAATAACCCAACTAGTATTGCTCATCAATTAAAGCCACAATTTAAATACAATTGACTTTTAGGAATACACAAATATTCTATGGTAAAATAAGATATACTGTTAAAAAATTTAAGCAAGATCTGTTAGGAAGCACTAAAGCTATTAAAGATAATGCGTTTTGGCTGGCCTAACGCTTGTGTCAGCATTGTTATCAACAGCGCTGCAATTGCTATTGTATTGTTTTCTGATCCGTTTTTTTTTCTCTCCAAGACTCTTTTCGTGGGGTTGTTGAGTAGTGGCGGTCTGCTGCGAGTGCGAACCCTACTTTTTTCCATTGATTGAATTGTTAGGAATGCCTTCGGATTTGCCCTCGACCAGCGAGATTTTGGTCTCGTCCTTGGTGATCCCTGTTGGCATCAAAAACTGCAATGCCGAAAACCAACCAGAGTAAGAACGCGTACGTGTGATGTAGAAGACGGTTTAATAAAAACTGAATTAATACTCGATACAATTAGTAGATACCGATAAGTGTTGAGCAACTCCATTACATTTTAGCTTTCACAAGTAATCGGCTTCATTATTTTTAACACTTTTAAGCTAAATGCGTATTACAATATTTATCTTAAACCAAGTAATTCAAAAAATGTTGCAGCAGTCTCGTATCACTAACCAAACAAGTGCTCGTATTCAGCATGCTAAATAAGAAAGCGAGCCAATTAGTGATTGGTATTTCGTTATATTTACCTTCAAACAATTTTCGTTTTTGCAGCCTGTCTTATACCCTGAATCAAGTGGCGTAGCTGCAGGACGACAGTTTTGCATGCTATTTTCGTATAAAACGGCGATGTAGCTGTCCCGGTGCTGATGCTGCTTAACATAGAAGCATGGTTCTATTTTACATCTGTGAAAACCAATACTCTTCAAAACTTTGTCCAATGTGCCATTCCAAACACGTCCAGATTGTTTCAGTCCGTAAATGGTTTTTTTTTCAACTTTAGCACCTTGTCTGGATGTTGTTTACTGATGAAGGCTTGAGGTTGCTTCATATATTCTTCATCCTGCAGCCTGCTGTTGAGATGTGCCTTGAAGATATCTATCTGATGCATACATAACTGCTTTTCTGCAGCAATGGCGAAAAGCATTCTGTTAGTTTCGTAGCGTATAACCGGTGAGAAAGTTTCTAAATAGTTCATTCCCTTCGCTTCACCATATCCTTGGGCAACTAGTCTGGACTTGAACCTCTCGATGTTCCTGTCTTTGTCTCTTTTGACACGAAAAATCCATTTTGATCCGATAGCTTTTTTTCCTGAACGTAAATTGCTCATCGACCAGGTGTCATTTGCTAGAAGTGCATCGTATTCCTGTTGCATCGATTTCTTCCCAAGTGCGTTTTTATTCTTATACATTCTATATAATGTAGATTGTGATACTGTTTTTTGGGTCTGCCGGGTTCGCCACTACGAATCAGTTTAGGTCTGCCAGGCCTGCGTTTTGAATCTTGAGCTGCGTCTGGAGTATTTTCCTCATCCCTATGCTCTTCGTCGCTGACGCTTACAAACTCCTCCCATTCTTCGGAGTCACTATTCTTGATGCCGGTATTGACGTGTTGGACCGCCATGGAATTTGCTTGCTGTGGTTCTGAAATTTCTTTGTTAAACTCAAGGTGAATAATGTTTGTAGTAAAGTAATTGTATTGATCTGAACTTTCGCATTTTCCAGATGTTTTGTTCTCAAACTCACCCTCAACAAATGTAACATCACGTCAATCTATAATTAGTCGCTTTTCTGGATCATATAAGCGATAAGCTTTTGCTATGGTGGAGTAGCCAACAAATAGACATTCTTTACCTTTTGCTTTGAATTTGCTTTTTCTAACCTTATGCAGTGGATGCAGACGGATGGTTTTCTTTGATGCCGTACTTCGAATGGTGTAACGCCATCTAGCACTTTTCGTAGATATGATCCTGTGATCACAGGTTCAGCCCACAAAAATTATTCCAGATATGCATGGATTAAGAGGCTTTTTGCCATCTCAACAATAGTACAATTGGCTCGCTCAGCTATACCATTTTGTTAAGGCGTATATGGAACCGTCAACTGTCGCTTTATGCCACATTTGTTTAAATATTCAGAAAATTCACGGTTCAAATTTGGTTCCATTATCATTTCAGAGAGTTTTTATTTTCGTGCCCGTTTCCAACCCGACATATCCCTTAAACAATTTAAAATAGAGAAAGGGTTTGCCACGTCGATGCGAAATTCTTGCATTTTAGCTCGCTATCGTTGGTAAGGGTACCCAAGCGTTACCATGTGTGCATTTAAAATATTTTGGACTCGCTATTCACGCATAATTGCATATTTTGTATATGAATAGAAGCATTTATGCGCTTGTGTGCCTGTTGCTTGCCTGCTTGCCTGTCCCCGATGCAAATTTAACAAGATTTTAGGATATCTTATTTTCGACCTCTACACATAGACACACATACAAATGTCTGTGAATGGGCAGATCATGGGCGCAAAAGAAAATATCATTATTGGCACGCGTCTGACGCACGCCCTTATTTTTTCAGATTTGTTGTTTGGTTAGTGCCTGTACTCATGTCCAGTCTATATGTTGTTCGGTTAGTGGTATTGCTCAAGCAAAAGCACGAACAGAGTATACAAGCGCAACGAAAACAAGTAAGAGGTTCTAGTCGGGAGCTCTCGACTAGGGGATACCCTGAACCCTCTTCTTCCTACATCAAATGCATATATATATTTTATTTTAGAAGCTATATGTCAAGTTTGGTGACTTTAGCTCTTATTATTTGCCAAAATTGCCCAAAAAACAGGATATCGATATCGATTTTTGGAAACGGAGTAAGTTATCGATTATCGGAAACAAACTCGATCTGCGCGGGAGCTAGGAGCATCTACATCTAAAATTTCAAGTCTATAGCTCTTATAGGTTCTGAGATCCGTGCGTTCATACATACGGACGGACGGACAGACAGACGGACATGGCTAGATCGACTCGGCTATTGGTGCTGATCAAGAATATATATACTTTATGAGGTCGGAGATGATTCCTTCTGCCTGTTACATACATTGGATTTTGCACAAATACAATATACCCTTATACCAAAGACAATATAAACACTGAGATGAGTAACGCCATACAACAAAATGCTACTATGCAGCTTGATTTTTTGAAAATTGAGAACGAAAACGAAATCTATAGCATTGCGCTCTCACAGCCGAGAGAACGAAAAAGCTAAAAATAGAATTTGGTCTCAGCTTCGGCTCTGTGACGGCCGTGCGAGCAATTATGTTTGTATGCGTGTGAATATACATACATAACAGCATATTTGAATGTGTTGTTATCCACTGCTCTGACAAAGTCTCTGGCTGGCAAAGAAACAATTTTCTTAGTTTTTTAGCGCAGATCACGACCTACCCAAAATTTCTGTTGATATATGAATGCATTTCGTGTACTGAGGTTGGCTCCGTACAAATAATTTGTATTTTTAAGTCGATGCAAAAATTTATGTAATTTTTTTTATTTGAAATTATTAATAAAACTATTATTATTTTTAAGTAATACAAAATAAATTAAGGAAATAAAAGTGAAAATTTGTTGTTTTCAAAGATACATTTAATTAATTATTATTTTTTTTTTATTTTTTTATTTTATTATTTATTTTTTCGAATCATAAAGAACAAAGTACGCAGGGAACACCGCGAGGAAGCCATTATATTTATAATGGGGTCATAACTAAATATGACCTTCGAGTCGACTTAAAATGTTATTGTATTTTTAGCACTCTTTTATTTCTTAATTGGAGAATAAAAATAATATTAATTAAATTTAAAGAAATTATGTAAATATTTGTATCGACTTAGAAATACATATTTTCTGCGGAACACAAATTTGGGATAGGTCATGATCTGCGTAAGAAAACTAACAAAATTAATTTCTTGCCATCTAAAGCCAAAGCAATGAATAACAACACAAACATACATACTTTATAGTTCTTATGCAAGTATAATTCACGAATACAACGAAAGGTGCACGCACGCTATTGGCTGAGACAAGAACTTTTTTCGAGCATACACTGTCCAAAAAGTAAAGTGAAATCAATCTATGTGTGCTATTTTCTTAACATAGTTATTGCGTAAGAAGCGCCGTGTGTAAAAATTATAAAAGTTCTTAAATTTTCCTGTAAAATAATTTGTTAATATCTAGAGTAATATATCATTTAAATAAAACATGCATTTCATGGATAAACCACAAGCACTTTGCGTCGATCGTAAGTTCTAAACTTTTTCGCTCAATGTGCTTCGAAAACGAAGCGACACAAAGCAGCATCGACCAGCTTTGCTGAAGGCAGCAAGCCGCGACTTCGGCATTCGTTCGTCTGGTCTTTGGAGAACGAGCAACCAGTCGGCAGGCATGCCGTACGAAGCCTCAAAGGCCAGATGAAAGGCCAGGCTAGAAATTTTGCATCGCATTCAAATGTATGGGCGTTACTCATCTTAGTGCTTATATCGTCTTTGCTTATACCCATTTTTAATGGGTTGAGGGTACAAAAAGTGTTCTATGGAAAGCGAAACCGAATCTGCTTCGTTTTTTTCGGTTTGTTGTGTGCAGATCGCATTGAAAATAAGTGTTGACTGTTATTTGGGACCTCTGGTTTAGACAAATGAATTTAAGTATTCATAAACGTTGTCCCCTTATTGTATATTTATACGAATGAGTTTTTGATATTACTGCCGTTTTCTGATAGGACCTATTGGCATATGAATGTTACGAAGTTTATTCCATGCTTTTATGTGCATCAGCTCTCATGGCTTGCCATATTAAATCAATCTTGATAATGCCTTTTGATCAATTATATTCCACGCATTTAATTTTGTGGAACCTTCAGGTATTGCATATTGCCCATAAACAACTTTTCACAAATCAGTTGTTATGAGCACACTACGCATGGTAATGCTCCAAATATCGTAATTGCTTTCACAAGGTTTTTCAATTTGCAACGTCATATTCATTTTGTTTGTTGAATTTTCACCGGTACGTTTTCTAGTACTCTTTTTATTTATTTATACCGAAACCTAATACTTTGGGCCCCTAACCTATTGTTGGCATATTAAACTGCAATGCCGAAAACCAATCAGAGTAAGAAAGCGTACGTGTGACTTAGGAGACGTTTTAATGAAAACTGAATTAATACTCGATACAATTAGCAGATACCGATAAGTGTTGAGCGACTTAGTTACATTTTAGCTTATACAATCGGTTTAATATTTTTAACAATCCCCAAGATGTTTTTATTGGCTCGGTGGCCCGCAATGCGAAACGTTTTGCAAGCTCTGAGTGCTCATAGATTAATCTCTCATGCTCCCTGAATGTCACTTCACTGTCGTTACCTTTGGACTGGAAAAATATAACAAACTGTCTTTTCTTGCTCAGTAGTTATAGACAGTACCACTGGCAAATACCTTAGAACCTTATTTCGGCCCTCAGCTCGACGCATAATACCACAGTATATATAAACAATATTCCACTGATATCGATGGGCTGTCTGTCTGTGACCGGTTAACGAAAAGATGGTTATACAAATTTTATAACATTGAAAAAAAACATATACTTGTTAGAAACAGCAAGTAGCATTAAATGAAATTGACTTTGCTTTTAAAAATCACTATATGATGTTTTCCAGATGGAGCCGCCTCGTCGACGTATACCAGAGCTAAAACAGCGTCCTAAGTCGGGAAATTGGAGTGGCTTTCACGGAACCAATTCCTCTTCGCTAATGAGAAATCAAATACTAAACAGCAGTTATCATGAGGCGCTTTCTGCCAGGGCTAGTGCAAATGCAATGGAAATCGTTTATACTGATGAAGCAAGGCCGCAATACATTAATTCATTAGATCAAAATGATCCTAAAATAAAAAAAGAGGAAATCGATCGACTGAACAAGCAACTAAAGATATTTGCTAAGAAACAAGAACAGTTGCTTCGGGTTTCATTTTATCTATTGTTAAACATGGCCGAGAACGTCAAGCTTGAGGACAAAATGCGACGGAAAAACATTGTTAAAATGCTCGTCAAAGCACTTGATCGTCAGAATATTGATTTACTTATGTTGGCTACCACGTTTCTTAAGAAGCTTTCTATTGTAGGCGACAACAAGGATGAGATGTACGCGTTAAACATTGTGTCGAAACTGCCACGCCTATTTCAAAACCCGCATATAGATCTGGTGCAGGTAACACTTAAGCTAGTATTTAATTTGTCGTTTGATGGTACAATGCGGCTTAAAATGGTTGCTGATGGCTATTTGCCTTTGTTGGTTATGTTTATTAACGACGAGAAGCATCACGGAATTGCGGTTAAAATACTTTACCACATGAGCCTCGACGATAAGGTCAAGTCTATGTTTATGCTCACAGAGTGCGTACAAATGGCCACCGATGCTATCATATTGAATCTGAATGTAAAGGTTGATCTAGATCTCATAGCACTTTGTATTAATTTGTCATTAAACCGACGCAATGCACATATTATGGTTGAAGGTCAGCGTCTACACAGTCTCATGGATCGAGCTTTTAAGTATCAAGATGCCCTATTGATGAAACTACTGCGCAACCTTTCGCAGCACGAATCACTACAACTACAATACGTTAAATACGTAGGGGATTTAGCGCGTATTTTAACGATCTGTGACGATGAGTCCTTCATCGTGGAGTGCCTAGGTATATTAGGTAACTTAGCGCTAACTGACTTAGATTACTCGCAAATATTGCAGAATCATAAACTAATACCTTGGATACGACAAGTGCTAGTGCCCTGCGCAAGACTTGACGATGTTGTACTCGACACTATCGTTTATCTGGGAACGTGTGCTTTCGATGAGCTTTGTGCGCTCCTCTTCTGTCGCGCCAAGGTCGTGATATCATTAATCGAATTACTTAAGGCCAAGCAGGAGGATGATGAGATTGTGCTACAGATAATTTTTGTGTTCCAGCAAATTCTGCGGCACGAAAGCACACGAGAGTACATGATTAAAGAAACTGAATCGCCAGCTTATCTTATCGATCTTATGCATGATAAAAATGAGGAGATCCGTAAAGTGTGTGATTATTGTTTGGATATTATTGCGATAAGTGATAGCGAGTGGGCAAAGCGTATAAAGGTGAGTTATATTTTTAAAACAAAATCAAGAAAATTTTTTCATTACGCTTGTTTTTGACTGTCTTATGTTTAAAAATTTAAATCCTAAAGTGTTACCATAAACACAAATTTGATTAAATTATAGCTGAAACAGTCAACCAATAATAAGTTATTTAAAACTGTGTATGCTTCAGCTTATTCGTGGCAACCATTGACCGTACGTAGACGATTTAAACTAACCCGTATTATCTCAAATCCATCAAATAATATGTCTTGTGAAAATCTTGAGGTTGAAGAATAAACATACTCCTTAATCTTTCATCTTTTGACCCGCATTTCCATCTAAACGCGTTGGATTTTTCGAAAATGGTATTTCATAAATATTCACAGACATCCCAAAATGAGTGAAGCTAATTCAATTATGAACAAACTTTTTGCCAAATCACCACAGTCGAGAGTCGAATTTCCAAAATCTCTGAAACACGTGTTCACTAAGATTTATATTCTAATTTTTACCGAGGGATAAAATTACCAAAATGTGTGAAACACCTGTGAAATGAATTCGCGGTTATTGGAATAATTAGTCCAATATCGTACACAATTAAATAATAAATCTTGTTAAATTTTGTATTAGTTTTAATATTTATTATTTTACGTATTGAGCGCGTCAATTTGTTTATTCTGATGCGCAGCGAAGAGTGAGGCTTAACGATAGAAGCATTTCAGTATCAAGACTGAAAATAACAAAATCCTACTTGGTCATTGTAACTTTTGTATGAATGAGTTTGTGTGTATTTCAACACTTATTATTCCAACACACCTCCTCAAAAAATACATTGACCTTTTAATTATAATTATGTTACAATTCAGTTTCTTCTAAAACAAGTTGCGCCTACTGGGAACAATATTAATGATCCACATTTGAACTTAATCAGATCATGGGTTAATGCTAATTATACTAAAATAAAAAAATTGTTTTAATTGAACAAAATTTGGTTTGTGATACTTAATTTGAGGGTCACAAATCTGGCAGCAGACAACGGCTTTGTCAGGATATCGGTCACTTGGTGCTCTGTGGAAACATACTCAAGATTAATAAGTTTATTTTTAATTTGCTCTCTTGAGAAAAGGTACTTTTTGTCAATCTGTTTGGCTACACTAATGCAAACTTTATTATTTCTACTATTTTAATTCGCCCACTTAATTCGAATTTTATACTAGATTTTAATGATTTAAGCCATATTACTTCTCTGACTGCTTTAAACAAAGCCATATATTCTGCTTCAGTAGAGGAAGCAGCCACTGAGTTCTGTTTCTTTGTATTCCAACATATCAGGCATGTAATCAGTTGTACTTTTTCTTCAGTGTCACTCCCAGCCCAATCAGAATCAACATATCCGATTATATTTATTTTAAAATTTAAATTTCTAACGAATGTTAGTTTTAAATCAATAGTACCATTTAGATTCCTCAATAGGCATTGCCACAACTCTTAATTATTTTTATTTGTATATCTACTCAATATACTAATAGATGTACTTAAATCGGGACGAGTACATACAATTACGTACATTAAACAACCAAGTAGATTTCTATATGGCGGATAACATTGAACATCAAAGTTAAAATAAATATAATTGAGCTCACTAAGAAGTGGTGTACTAACTGAGTTACATTCCTCCATGTCAAACTTCTTTAGAACATTACTAATGTATAGTGACTGACTTTGATATAATGATCATCAGGTCATTCCAGTTTTATTGCTATGAAATGTCTTATTTCACATAAGTCCTGATATCCTTAACTTTCTCATTAAATATGACTTAAAATTACTCAATGAAACATTATACTCAGTTGCAATAACTAAATACGTACAAAAGTACGTACGTACAAATTCCTTTTAATGGTCTTTAAAACCACTAAAACCCACATCGTGCCGCCTGCTTCAATCCATAAATTGACTTATTTAGCTTGCAAACTTTTTTCACTTGTATGTGAATACTCATATAGATTTCTCTTCTCAAAACACCGTTTATAAAGGCAGTTTTCACATCCATATGGTGTACCTTAAAATTAAATTGGTTTACAATTGATAAAATGAATCTAAAGCTAGATATTCTTGCAAGTGAATCCTCGAGCTACTAGTCTGACTCTATATCTAATTGGATTGCCATTTTCATCACATTTAATAGTTTTAAATTCATCTGCAATCAAATATGTTTTTACCTTGAGGTTGCTCAAGTAATGTCCATGTCTTATTATACAAATGAGAATCTTATTCTTATTTAATGGCTTCTTCCCACTTAGCTCGGTCACTTTTATTCTTTATTTCAAGATACATATGTAACTGGAATACTATAAGTAAAAGTGTGGGCGAAGCAAATTAAGCAAATGTTTAATAATCTATTTGAAACCTTATCTTTCAACCTTTAAATTCTTCTGATTTCAATTCCCACCTTATTTGATTTTATACATGACAACCTTTTCCCCCGACTATTTCAACTGGACTAGCATTTTCAGTTTATGTACTACAAGGCTGTTCTACTGATATTTCACTATCAGATTTTTCCTCCGTACTCTCCTTGCGGAAATTTGACTCAATTTCATTCGAATCTATGTTCGAAATCCATTGTTCTATTAAGAATATCATTCTGGATATTTCCTACCCGTTCCATACCCACTCTGGAACTTCGAGTCCAACAGTACTAGATTTTTCAACAACATCTCTTGCTACCAAAAACTTTAGCATCCCACAACTAATATCCATTTGGTTCATAGACAAAAAGTATACCTTTTAAATGGAGTTTTCGTATCCCGTAATGCTCTACTTGGAGTTACAATAGTTTCACTCCAAAAACATTAAAAATAAATTTTAAAAAATGTATCCAATTTTGCCGAACTAACTCCATTTAGTTGTGGTGTATATGGGACTGTTAAATGGTAGCCCATGCCTTTTTCTCCATGTCATTAGACAAATATTCTCTTCCATTATTAATGTAGTGACTTACAAATACAACAAGCCTCACATATCTAATTCAGTTGCACATCTTTTAAAATTTCGATATTTAAACATATTATTTCGCGAAATTTATAAAAACTTGCCTTTTGCTAAGGTATCCCAATCTCTCATGCCAAAAGTGATCATATTTATCTATTTGAGATTCCGTTCCATCTTGAATCTTGAATTCAACAATAGGAACATTCGTTACACACAAGCCTCCCAAAGCGCCGTGTCCGCTCTAACTAACTCTAAGACTGTTACACCAGTTGAGATGTGGGATGTCTTTGCAAAAAGCACATTTTCCGGGGTAATATTCATTAAGATTGCTCTTAAGTTTTACTGTACCCTTAGCAGTAGCATAAATTCCTAGTTCGCAATAGCAATCTCAATGGGGTTTCGAGAATAATACATTCCACAAACAGATATACATTATTTATTATATCTGAGGGTGCAGAATCCAATATGAATGAAACATTGCTTACGTGTTTTTTTTTTGCAAACTACTTTTAAAATTAAAACAATCCTTTTTAAAGTGTCCCTTTTTGGCGTAAAAATAGCATTGAATATTTGTTCTAAAATTGTTTATGTACCTGGGCTTCAATTTTGATTTAAAATAAAATGGTCTTGTTTTGTTGCCCTTTTTGCCATTTAAAGCTACAGCTTGCAAAATTGTACTGCTCGTATCTTTACTAGCATTCTGAAGTTTGATTTCGTGATCAAGTAAGCGATTTGTCACAAATGCCAGGGTCAAGTTTTCAATCGACAAAGTTTCAATGGCAGTTACCACCCCATAAGTAGTAGATAAAGTTTAAAGTAAGTGTGAAATTTTATCCACCTATTCAATTTTAGCTCCTAATGTTATTAACTCATTTATCAATTCGTCAAATCTTTTTAAATGACTCATAAATGGAGTGTCGCCATATAATATAAATGTTAATATCTGCTCCCGTATGGAAAGTTGCAAAGCTAAACTTTCACGCTCGTACACTGAGTCTAATTTATCAAAAATTTGGTTTGCAGAATTATCATTATCGGTAAATAACATATTTTTTTTTGTATTCATTGTTTATTTAACTGTGCACGATTTTATTTTTTGTTTGGTTATGCGATGTCTGGGCCCATGACCTATTTGAATAACAAGGGTAATATCGTAAACAATTAAATGACAATTCGTTTTATTTTCTATTAGTTTTAACATATATCCTTTTACTTATTGAGATAGAGATGTAGCAAAAACAAAAAACAACTCTAATACAAAAATTTAGTAAACATACCATAAACCCATAAAAAAATTTGTTAGAATTCACCGTTTTCTAATAGCATCACCGACCGATGGAAGTGTTTTATTTGTACGTCTGGCCAGCCATGCCCTTTTTATACCCTGAACCCATTAAAAATGGGTATAAGGGTATACTGTATTTTTGCAAAATCCAATGTATGTAACAGGCAGAAGGAAGTATCTCCGACCCCATAAAGTATATATATTGTTGATCAGCATCAATAGCCGAGTCGATCGAGCCATGTCCGTCTGTCTGTCCGTCCGTCCGTATGTATGAACGCAAGGATCTCAGAACCTATAAGAGCTAGTGATATAGGTGCTCCTGGTGCCTGCGCAGATCGAGTTTATTTCCGATAATCGATAACTTACTCCATTTCCAAGCAATCGATAAAAATCGATATCGATATCCTGGTTTTTGGGCAATTTTTGGTAAATAATAAGCTCTAGAGTCACCAAACTTGACATTTAGCTTCTAAAATAGAATATATATATGCATTTAATGTTGGAATAAGAAGGTTCAGGGTTCAGCTCCCGACTAGAACCCCTTACTTGTTCACAACTAATTTTGTCAGTGACTATATTAGAGCCTACAGCAAAGAAGAAGGGTGAAAATAGTGCTCTAAATTTAAAAAAAAAAAAAACAATAAATAGGAAAAAAGAAGTTGTTTATAAAGTAAAGAAATGTATACTAGATATGTAGAGTGTTGTGTAGATAGGATAAAGAGATAATGATGGGAAATCA